TCCTGTATAAAGAAAGAGAATGCGTCATTGACAAGATAGTGTGGAGAATCATTTTTTATACCATGTTTAAAGATTAGAACAGAATACAGAGAGTCTTAAGTTACAATGGTGGCTCATTTTTTTTTTTACCTCTTCTCATTAGATTGTTAAAGGAAAATACTATAATATTGCTGGCTGATTTTTTTAAAATAATAGGGAAAAATACATTGCTTTGGACAAATTCCCTAAACTTGAATCACATGTAATTTTTCCCCCTCGGTATTAATTCTATTAGGTAATGGGTTTAACTTTAAAATACAATTTTATAGTCAACAAAATGGAATTTTTTACAACTTACAAATTCTCTGTTTAAAGTGTTCTGTATTAACTCAAAGTAATAAGGACTTACCATTTTAAATTTTTTGGAAAACAATGCTCCAAATCATCATGCTTTGGTATTTGATGTTAGGATGGTTATTCAAACCAGTATTTCTTACATATAATGATTGTGCAACTTCATTACACATTTGTCAACTTTGGACTAATTATTTTTATACGGCTAGGGCAGGGCACTGCATCTTGTGATCGTCTTTCTTACTAATAGGATTCTGTCTGCTTCAGCAGGCAGTAATTGAAGGCTTCATGTACAGAGTAGGGGAAAAAAAAAGTTTTAGCCTGAGTGGGCCATTGTCACAGCTTTTGGTAACCAGTAGAACAGAAAACATGAGAAAATTGAACTCAGAATAGAAAAATCAGAAACCAGGAAGACTATCCAAGAGAAGAAAAAGCATGTCTTAGAGCTGTTGCATTAAATGTAGCAAATATGATTCTACTTAAAATTTTTATGTTTGTGAATACCCTGGAGATTGATACAGTCTCTCAGATAAATACTTTTTAATTCATGTTGTCCTGTTAACATTGCAGTTATTCAAACAATTGAGTTGTAGAATTTCTTTTCCTTCTGACAAAGAACATATATGGTCCATAGCCAGCTTCTCATAAATCTAAAAAAAAAGTGTGGTTTAAGTGCATGAGGGAATAAGGCCAGGTATTGTAGACAGTAAATTTATACAAATTTGTTGTTGTTACCTGCGCTTTTTTCATAATTCTGTCAGTAGTTAAGACAAATTAACTTTTTTAGAAAAGTAGTATCTTCATTTAGGTTTGGCAAGCAGCTTATTTTGTCTTTTTCTTTAATCTTGAGAATTCTTACAAGCTTCAAAAATTAAATGTCAATTGCTAGAGATAATAGACAAAAAACATGTAATGAAATGAAATACAGATATATCTAAACAGTTCTACCTTCTCAGTTGGTGATTACAAACAGCCAGTGCTTGGTGGTGGAATGAAAAATGAAAAATTATGAAAAATACCTAGATGGTATCCTTTTAATAATATGGAGCCCGTCATACATAGGCAATACATCTTTAACTGTCATCCTCTTATTTGTTCTCATTTGTGTTGTTACTGGTGTTCGAGGTTGGTTGGCCTCCCAGAAGTCCCTCCCTGTGTTACAGCCCCATTCAGGAAGGTTTTATATTTTTCATTGCCAGTGTGTCTTTTGAGGGCGTGGGAGGTGGGGGGGTGTTTAAAATTTTTTAAATCTTTAAAAGCAGAAGTTAAAAAGTGATTATGATAAAGCACCAAGTCAGGATGCTTTGAATTCCATAATGGTGCAAATTCAAGTTCACAATTTTGAAGGGAAAAATCTTCCCTCTTCAAGCTTTTGGAACAGTAGTAGATTATATACATATTAGGTAAATAAGAAAAACCTTAATTTATCAGTGCATTTTGCATATTTGAGAATGTGTATAATCCAGAATCAGAATATTTGGGTTCAGATTCCTGCTCAACCATTCACTAGCTGTGTGCCCATGAGCAAGTTTCTCAACTTCTGTGGGCCTCAGTTCCCTCATCTATAAGGTGATCTGCCTCGAAGAATCAAATGAGTGCCCGTGACACAAAGCACTTAATAAATGGCAGTTGCAATGATGGCTGTGGTGATCCAGAAACTTCACATACCTTCTGAAAAAGTTTGGTCACAGTCTTCATCTTCGTTTGAGGTCAAGTACAGAGGTTCTGCTGTCAGCCATTAAATTTAGCATAGAAGTGTTTGACCCAAGCTCTCTTTATAATCAATATTTCTTATATCCAAAAGCTAGCTGTGTGTTATTTATTAATTGGTGTTCTTTCCATAACTGTCTTTCGGTGTATTTTTAAAGCATATCCTGTTCGGGCATTAAGCGATTAATAAATTTTGGGGGGTGGCTTTGCTTTTCATGGACCAAAACAAACCAGTTGTAATCATGCTGTGTTCCAATTAAATACATCCTTTTTGAACTGTGAAATGAGAATGTCAGAACATCTGATCTTCTAGTCTTCTGCTTTAAAACATGGCTTTTACCATTTGTGCCCACTAGCACAGAGAGACCTAGTTAAAGGCAGTAGCTTTTACACCAGCTAACATATTATTGCTAGGATGATTTGCTTAGCATGTTTCCACTGTAGTGTAAGCAAAGACCTTTTCTTTCATTCCCCTATTCTTTATAGTATTGAGAATTTTGTGGTAATAGGATTTCAAAAACATGTACAAGACACTAATTTTAATCTCTGTAAACATACTGACGTCAAAACTGACGTTTGTCTCTGCTGAGTTTATATTATTGTACCATCAACTCTAAGTTTTTAATAGAAAAGAGATAAAATGTGCCTTGGGGCTGTGCAACCCTGAAATTCAAGTGCTTTTGTGTCCCTATTCAGACATAATCTCCTTCTCTGCAGTCCCAAGGCACAAGTGTTAAGTAAATAAAGGGACTAATAAGACTATTGTTTACATAATTATAACCCTGTCAGAAATAGGGACCTCTGTTCAAATATGTGTTGAATGAAGATTTGGTGATGACCGAATCTGTGGGGGAGAAAAGTTACATAAATGAGTAGGACAGTAGTGCCACATAGTATCATTTGGTTTAACATACAGACAAGGTTTAACAGAAATACAGAAACAGGATTCTCCTATGAAGCAGAAGAACCTCAAAAATGTGGGCAAAAGAAATGCATAAACTTGTAAGGGGTGATAGGAAAGAGGGACCTCTGGGGGCTGGTGATATTTGTGTTCTGTAGAAGATGGAATTAGATACGCATTTCCTTATGTCTTTTGTGGACATCTGAAGAGCACACAGATGTGTATAGTATGAGAGCTTTACAAAATCTCTTTAAAAACACTGGTATGATTTCTCTTCCTAAACTGGTTACTTACAGTTGCTTCTCTCAAGTAGAAAAACTGCTCTGTCGGACTCCTTACCAGTCTTCAGTGTGTTTGGAGAGAGTAGCTTTCCATGTTTGTAGAAAATAACACAAATAAATGACTGGGAAGGCTTCTAACATACTTTATCAACAACCCACCAGCTCACATTTTAAGATGCAACCTGAAAGTGTTGATAATATTTTGAATTACATAAAATTAGCATGTTTGTTTTGCTTTTGAGTCATTATTCTGATTATCGTTGGGAGACTGATTTTCATGATTCTGTTTGGGTCAAAAATGGCTTGTTGGGTTTTGGGAAAAAAAGAATCGAATGTGTTATAAGATCTTGATGTCATTTTTTTAAAACTCAAAAAAGAAATTACTTTTCATTTAAAGAGAATCTGCTTCCTGCTTAAGTGGCTAATATTTTAATTAAGTTGGGAGTGAAGTTTTTCTGAGTGTCTCCTGATAAACTCCCTCTTTTATGTTGATGGTAATTAAACAGATCCCTGAGGACACCACGGGCTCTGCGCAAGGCCCATGCTAATTGTCAGACATGAGACACTGACCAGTTGGTTTGCTCTTGAATAGTCCGCAGCGTGCTGTCAGCGCGGCCGTTTTATTTTTATGTATTGTGAGCTGTTGTCAGGGCTAACTGGGTGCCATTGTGGCTGAAGATGTTGCGCAAATTGAGGCAGATGGCTCAGATTCAGACACGTGTCATACAGAAAGGGGAAAGGGGATTGGCCCTGCAAAGTGGGGTCACAGCAGGTCACAGACCTGCTCTACACTTGTTAGTGTTTTCAAAAGCTCATGTGCGGCAACTTTGTTTTTCTCCAGTCATCCCTGCAATCGAATCCCCCCCCCTCCCCAAAATGTGTGGAACATGCTCCATGTGGAAAATGGAGGCCTAGGAGGGTACCGTCCTCTTCCTTAACGTCTCTAGGGCTCAACTGTGCGTGCAGAATGAATTAGCAGGATTGACAGAAGTTCATTGTGCCTCCAACAGCTTTTCAGTCAATTGCAGTGCTTAAAAGGCTAGTTTTGCTTTTAATTCCATGTAATTAGTAGATTCTTCATGTCTTGGAATTTAGTAATGGAGCCTTAGACTTCAAGTTTCCTCTATTCTAAAGCAAAAAGAAGTATCTAACATCCTGAACGTTAAAAAAAATCTAAAAAGAGGGTGTGTGGTGTTGTACCTGGCTGTCCTGTGATTTTGTTACATGTCGTCATCAACATTAGAGATTGAATTTGAATATTTTAACATGCATGCATGAATTTTTGAAACAGTATGAGTTTTATAATGTCCATAAAATTACCTAATTTCTTGCATAATCATTTTCACATATGAGGAATTAAAATTTCAAGCTCTTTGACAAAAGTAACTTTTCTTAATATGTTTTAAAAATAAAAATACAGTGGTTTATTTTAAATGGCCCCATGCATGGTGAAATGTTAAATATCAAATGAATGATTCCCAAATATATATTAATGGAGAATTATTCACATATACCTCTTGTCCAAACTAATAAGTAAAATAGACTTCCTTTTCTTGTTCCGATCTAACAATGCACTAAAATTACCTGCCTGTGGTAAGCATGGTGCTGGGCAGTTTATTGATTTTTCAGAAGAATGCTTGGCTTTGGGTTTTTGGCAGTAGGGAACCTGTAAGAAATTACTGAGAAAACAATTATTTTAAACCTATTTGAGTCTGTGCCGTCTCCTTTCCCCCACCCCCCCTCATGACAAAAGGCCTCTCTTTTTTTATGTTCAGGTTTGCAGCTAAAACTGTGCACAGTGGGTCGTTGATGCTCGTCACAGTGGAGCTGAAAGAAGGCTCTACAGCCCAGCTTATCATCAACACTGAGAGAACCGTGATCGGTTCTGTTCTGCTGCGGGAGCTGAAGCCCGTCCTGTCCCAGGGGTAACCTGCTTACATCTGGACTTCAGAATCTGGCACACAACAAAAGTGCCTGGCATCCACTACTGCTGCCTTTCATTTATAATAATAGCCCTTCCATCTGGCAGCGGGGGAAGAATACACTCTTGACATTCTTGTCTCCTGCTTTAGAATGCTGGTGTGTATCTATCATGTATGCAGTACTTGCCCCCTTTTCGCTTTGCTAACCAAAGAACATATATTTTACTGTCAGTTTTCTCAACTCTTGAATCCATGTGGCATTTTCTCTGTCCTGCTACTTCTTCTGGCCTTCTCCTCTTCTCTTTTTTCACCACGATGGACATGAATTGGGTATTTTAAGTTCATTGGAAATTACCCTCCCTCCCAGTGTAAACAAAAAATCAGCCTAGAAATAGTCTAAATGGCCTCTCAGCTTGGTATCTGAAAATTGGGGTAGCACACTTTTTAGAATTAAATACAAAAACAACAAGATCGCTGCAGAATTTTGTTCTATGAATTTCCTGGTATTGTAATTGGTTATTGACAATGCTCATCATGAAATCATCTCTGAATAATAAACTAGCATATGAATAACATGTGTCTTTGCATTTTTGATGAGAAACTGTGTGTAATCCCAAAGTTCATTGGCTGATAGTTCTTTATTTTAAAGTAAATGGCTTGAGTGTTATATTCTGCAAAGAAGCAGTCAATGGGGTTTAGTTAGTGAAAAAAAACCCACTTTCAAACTCAAGTAGATTTTCTGATTGTTTTATAGAGTAGTTAACTCCAAGAAAAAAATTGATATAGTTAATAACAACAGCAAAAATCATCATGTTGTAACATAAAATGTCTCTTTCCATGCAATCTTGATTAGTAGGGATCAGATTATAAGGTGTATTACACCTGCTGAATAAATTCTTTTTATCTCATTGCTCCTTTACAAATCTTGATGCCCAACTTAGACAGACTGAAACACCTTTGGAAACTAACCAGTATAAACCTAATTGTAGAAGTTTTAAGAACCAGTTACATAATCAACATATTCGCTCTTTTCCCTGCAGTGTTTATTTTGTTTGCTGACTTAGGCAAGTCACTGTATTTAGTTAGATTGTTCTGTAACCAGGACACTTTTTTCTAAGTCTTTTATACCTTTTTAAAACCAATTGAAATTTTATTTACCTTTCTGATATAAGGTAATAGAGAGTATATGCTAGTCAGTTCCCTTTCTTTAAAGCCACATAATGATTTTTAAAAAGTAAAAAGAATATATATTGGTGGAAACACCATAGAACATATATAAAGAGAAGAATAAAAACATTCTTAGAAAATACTCCTCGAATAAAACAGACCTGAAAAATTAAATTTTCAAGCTTGTGAGCTGGGGAGAGCAAACAAGAGCAGCGACTCCGGGTGAGTAGAGCTGTGGGAGTCACGTGTCCGGCCTCGCCCTGGAGCCTTCCGGCCATGGCAGAGCCGACAGCCAGGAGCGACGCTGTTACTGCAGCCGGTTGGCATTTCCATTAATAATCCTGTTTCTCGGGGCTTGCTTCACACCTTTGGGGTTTTCAGTCAACAACTTTTGCAAATGTTATAAAGAGTTTGACAGGCTACATACCTGTTTTCTGAAAAACATGTTTACACAATGCATCAAAGCAGAGGGAACATGGATGTTGTGGTGTAGACAGGTTTTTGTTTTCCTTAAATGAGGGCACTTCTCTTTGAAAACAGGTTACTCATAGATACGTATTTGGAAACTAAGGAAGTTTCAGTGGAACTTTAGTTTTGAATAAGATAAATTTTTGATAGCTAACCTTGAGATTTAAAATCTATACTAAATAATATAATGTGGTATACTAACAGTTGAAGCCATTTTAACATCAATAGCTTAGTATCATTAAAATATTTTTCATATAAGTGGAAATTAGAAAAATGACCAAAATCCCAAGTTTTAAGATTTGGGGGTGGAAGGGGGTGGGTTTCTTCCTTTTTTGGTACAGTGTTTAAGAGTTCCTTACCTCATATTTCCTTTAACTTTATCATAATCCATGATTATCTCTAAATTGTTCCATTGAGTCGAGTTAGTCAATGTTGAATTCTTAATTCTAGCTATATTTTTTCATTTTAATGTCCACTTAATGGGACATTTTATGTACACCAATCTTGAAGAATGGCTCTCATAGTATATTTCAGACTGAGCCTCATTTTTGGTATCACATTGCCTCATTTTCGGTATCTCAATACATTTGCTTTATTTATTATAAGAAAAGGAGAATGTTTTTATTCTGAAGAGCCTGTAACAATGAACTTACCAAATTAAAATACTTGATACTTGCCCTTCTCAGGAACTATTTGCAAACATTTGAATAACTTTATAATAGCTTATGAGAAGTTTGCCCTTGTAACCTATGGTTCATGTTAAGAAGATAGATATTACATTAGAGGAGACAAGAATCCAGAATGATGAATAATATAAAGGGAGGTTTTAAAAAGCAAAGTTTAGCTAGCTAGAGGAAAACCTAAGCTTTTTTACCTTCTTTGTTTCCTCTCTCTAATCTCTCTAACGTTATAGGGGAATGTGTTTAAACAGGGAAAAGGCCTCTTTTCACATAATGAGGGGGGGAAAGCCCTATGTTACAGTGCAAAATTAACAAAGCCTTACTGTTTCCTCTCTATTTAAAGCCTGCATCCACGGTGAAACGTGAAGAACTGCAGTAACCATTGTCAGGGGTATAGTAAAATAGAAGATATGTGCTCTACCCCCAAGAAACCACAATCCATTTGGCAATAAATGAAGAAATGGCAGTGTGGACTTCGCTGAGTCAGTGAGCCCTGGTTTGCAAACAAACTTCACTTACATACTAATACAGGCGCACCTCCTTCCCCAGCCCCACTCACTTTGGGTGCTGAGTCCAGTAGCTTTAAGTGAGCTCTCAGGTCCCAGAGTCTTGCTGAACCCATCTCTTCACCTCCACCTCCCCCTCCTCACACAGGTGACCTGCCCAGACCAGCCACTGGGTGCACACTTCTTTTGTTCTTCCATCAATCGGAGGTCGCTTAATTGAAAGGCGATTACTTTCTGACCATATACTTGCTTTTTTTTTTCTACCCTTCTCCTTACCATTCCTTCCAACTTGACCAGTTACCTCAAGAAAAGTTTTCACGACCACTTTCACTCTCTTCTTGAGATTTTAGAGGAACCAAAAAAACAAAACAAAACAAAAAGCAAGTTTATGATAGTGTTATACTCTAGATGAATGGAAATTGTGTTTAATAGAAAAGCATGCCCTTAAATGGACCAGAAGTTTGTTCCTGAATCTTCACGGTCTCCATCTCCTTTCTTTATGCAACTTCCCAACAAATGGCGTTCAACGCGACTAAATGAAGGCTTTACTCTTTCTATCTTAGTAACTTTCCTACCACTTTTCAACTGTACTGTGGACTAAGCACTATTTTAAGACCTGACGTGGTAAGTTAACTACCATTTGAAATTGTTTTTTGAATAAAAATATTTTAGATTTCACGTGATCACTTGACCAACAAACTTGGAACATAGCTGTTTGAAAGCTGAAATTGTTTCTGGAAAGAGTTGTGAAGCAGTTGCATGATTGTCAGATCACGCCAGAAAGAGCTATTGGGTTTAGGGGGAAGCAGTGTTCACTGGGTTAGAGAGGTCTGAGAAGGTTCCACTGAGGCAATGAAGCTGGATGGCATTTAGAGGAGAAAAGTTTCTGGAAGAATAGATTGTTCTCAACTGAAGCTGTCTCTCAGAATGTACCTTTGTGTAGAGAGCAACTTACCCACACATCACTCTGTGCCCCCATTTCTCCCTTCTGCCTTCCCAGGCTGTCCCCCTGATGCCATCCCCCAGGTCTGCAGCTCGGGGGCTGTGGTAGGTCAGAGGAGAAGCGAATGGTTGCCATACTGTGGGTGGGGCCGCACTGCCCTTGGAAACTGGAGGCAGGAAAAAGAAGATTGGGAACCAGTGAACCTAGAGATCAGGAGAAATCAGCTTTGTTGGTTCTACTGTCCTGTTTGTAAGCTAGTGTTAGATATTTCCTTGGGGATTTTAGTTACTTCCTGTGCTTTTGAATTATTTACAGGTTCTGAAGTCTTTTTGGACTTAAAAGTAGCTAAAGAATATGAAATTGCATTGGTATCTATTTACTGGTTAAGTGATTGTATGTTGAAGTGGTGCCTAATCTTCTCCCCCTTGTGTCTGTCTTTCTCTGGAGCCAAATTGATGTACATAGTCACTTGTACATGTAATTCCTGGCCGCTTCAGTAAACGTGTACACTGAAGACCCAAGCCCCTCAGAACTCCAACATGGAATTATTACAACAGACTCAAACTTGTCTTTAATGACCTAAAACACTGCTTTCTCATCTACAACCTTGAGCGCCAGAGACACCAAAAATAAGGCTGACGTGGAGAATTGTATTAAGTAATCTCTGCACCCAGGGTGGGACTTGAACTCACAACCCCGAGACCCAGAGTCTCATGCTCTACTGACTAAGCCAGCCAGGTGCCCCAGTGTAGAATATTCTCAGATCTAGAGATGTTTAGAAAGCCTAACCAGTAGATAATTTTGCCAGTGGGCTCATTCATGTAAACTCTTGAAGACTGCAGGTGCTACACGTGGGCTTGGAGAGAACAGGGAAGCCTCACCTTGCCCACACCCTTCTCTTTAACTGGCCTGGGAGGGGTTGCCAAGGGGGGAGTTTCATAATATGAGAGGGAGGGAGGGAAGATAGATTAGCTCTCAAACTGTAGCTCAACCAAGATTCTGGATTTGTTCCTCCTAGAAGAGCATCTTCTCACCCATGTAAGAACCAATTTGGCGGGGGGGAGGGGGGGTTGTTTCTGTAAGCAGTGTGATGGATGTGAAGACTTGTTTTACAGTAGGGTAAATCATCTCCATGGATAACAGTAAGGAATTGTCAAGACCGTGGCCTACAAAAAGAAAAATACTAAATTTTGCCTTTGCAAAGTAACTGAAAAGGGTTGTATAAAGATGGGCCCCTCAGCCTAAATTTAAATTCCCCATTTCTAATGAGTTCATTGTTACATGCTTATTCCCTTTGTTAGTAAACTGTGTAAAGTTAGGAATGACAACAAAGGGTGAGGCGTGAACCCAAACACACTGCCCAGGGGAACTTAATGCAGACTTTTGGGGGAGACCCAAGTCCCCTCCCAACTTAAGGTTTAATTTTTGGCCGACAAAATGAAGCCGTCCTCAGAGGGCCTCATACCGGCATCACACTGAAGTCGCCAACACCCAAGGGCACTCTTTCCGTGACCCCAAGAGCCTCCATTTTGCTCAGGCCTCATCAAAACCACGGGGCCTACATAAAAATATTTTGTAAACAAAGTTACGGGCAGCTCAGTTTCCTAATTGAAAGTAATTATGATTTCTGTGCTGTGGTGTAATTACCTAAAAAAATGTTATTTGATGATTAAGATTCTGGAGTGAATTGTGTTCTTTGGGCTCTCGCGCCGGGCCTCCATCGGGGACTTGGTTTCAGCGGCGTGCAGCTGCTGGAGCTGATTTACAGTGCTGCGGCTGTGGCTGGTCATAAATAAATCCTCTTATATAGTTGTTATGAACACCTGTTAGATCATCTGTCAGCAAAGCGCTGTTCACATTTATCATGGCGCGGGAGTCATTTTACCTCAATCCATTTCCAACTGACTCAGCCTCCATCGCCGGATTACTATTACCACACCATCATCGCTCCTTCCCACTCCATGTTACAACTTGCAGATAAAAGATTTCACTACTTGGCCAAATTTCATAAATAAAGGAACAGTTCAGTGCAGTAAAAGTTTATTTTTGTCGTCATCTGTCACCCCATTATTCTATAAATCAGATGGAATCGCGCTGTCGCTGGCTCAGGCGTTGCTGTCAGCCTTAGGCATGGAAATGGTCCGTTTCTTCCTTTCAGATGAGATGAGATGTCTTTCCGACTTAACTGGCTTATGGCTTTGTTTCACCCATTTTATTTTATTACCCCTCCAAAAAAAATCCTTGGGGAACGGAAAGATTTACAGAGTGAAATGGAAACAGAAAACACAGCCCAGCACACTGTTTAGCTCAGTGATCTGCGTTTCCCCCCATCCGGCCGTCAGGAATTGACCCCCAGCCCCTCACACTCTGAGTCCTTGACTGAGGATGCTTTCCATAAACTTCTGAGGGCTTTGTGGTTTCTATTATGGAAAGGCCATTCCAATGTGGAGTCACAGATATTGAAATACCTGAGGTATATCCTCAGAGATCCTCCCAATGTGACAGGCCTTATGCAAAGACATGTCGAACTGGTTTCTTTTCTAAAATGCATTGTAATAGCTCGGAGGCTTTGAGAGACAATGGTCACCCCTGGGGAGCGTCTTACCCCTTGGAGGTTTGTCAGCCGTGGAGCTTTGGAGGGGAGTCAGGATTTATTAGCAAGTTGTGAACTCCGTCTCAGGTGTAAGTCTGAGGAAGGCAATGTCCCTCGGTTAAAAGGAAGAGGACAGAAAAAGCTGAAGGGATGGGGTAATAGAAAAGGGTTTATAGTTGATATTATACTTCCGAGTTGGTTCTAATTCAACTTACATTCTTCATAGTCATTATGTAGCTCATAAATTCAATAAAGTGTTTTACTGTTACTATAAAAATGACAGGAGGGGGGTTTTATGTTGTAAGTTTCGTTAGTTGCTCTTCCTGTTTTATGTTGAAGTTCTCAGGCCATTATGTCATTAAACTCCTTGGAGTCTGAAGGGCTCAGGCCCCTCCATTTCTTGCCTTTTGCACACTTGGCCGTGTCAGCCTAGGCTGGGTCAGGCCACCAGACACATGGAGCCAACCACAGTAGTGCTGGGAGATCAGGGGGCTTTGCATCTGTTATTTCATGAGAAGCAGCTTCATTCTGTGACGATGGGGGAGGGGCGAAAGCCTAGGCAGACTACTGGAGGGGCTCTAGAAATTTGGAAGAAGAGTCTATCAGGAGCACTTGTTGGATGGGGTGTAAGTGGCCCAAGGCCCTCGCAGACCCAGAAATCATTCCCTGCATCGAGATTGGCCTGGGAGCACTAGACTCTGCTTACTTGTTAACCTTTGCATAGCTCGTAAGTCCAACCTTTGCATAGCTCGTAAGTCCTTGATAAAGTTCTAAGCAAATGCAGACTCAGACTCTTAACTGGGATTGTTTGAAAGGAAAGACTCTCTTGGCTGTTTTCTTTGATTCCAGAAGAAGCAAAGGGCACTTCTGCTGTAGGAAACTTTGCTTTCTCCAGATGTTTGTTTTGAACAAAATATCCACATGGAAACAGCAACTACTAATTCTCTGGCCAGAGTGCATCAAGGCCTTAATCTAAAGCCTCCCATCCATCCAGCTGTCTGGCATTTGCTATTATAGGGCACCAACAGAGAAATGAGGCTGTGGCTTTATCACTGCACCCTGGGTGACAACTTGATTTTCTGCTTTCACCGCAGGCAGCAGCAGCCCAACATGATGGGGCTGTTAATTTGTGCATTTCATGGTGTCTGTCAGGGGGGCAGGGAGAGGAGGGTTTCAGGGGGAAGGGAATGGAGCATGTCCCAGCCGCGGAAGCACCTGTCTGCATTGACGGCACAGAGCACTTCTTATTAGCGTGCAGGTCTCTAAATGCAGCCCAGGGATGACAGCCTGGCATCCCAGCACCCACACACTGTGACAGGCGCCGGCAGCCGGTCCCATTGTTTGCCCTTGATGAGCATGTCATTAATGGAAATGGAAGAAAGTGAGGGCCACATCAGTATTCAAATAGCCTCTATTCTCTCTGCCATTCACCCGGCTGGCTCAGCCTGCTGCAGATTTCCTTCTGCAAGCTCCTCTTAGACTTTTTTTTTTTTTTTTTTTTTTTGGTAACAGATTTATTCCCATTGCATACAAATCCTTTCCATGTTGTTCCTGGTTTCTTCCAAGCCTGTGTTTACACCCACCTCTTTAGGCTGGATTTAGCTAGATCAAAGGAGATTTGGGGCTCTTGTATATTGCAAAGGTCTAATTAGCAAGTGCATGCTCTTTACAGCCAAGAAAATGCATGTTGCTACTCCTGAATCCTGCATCTTCTCTGAGGGGGATGGTGGCTGCTCTGGCCACCAGTCTGAGAAATATCTGATAGAGCTGGGTAGCATGCAACACAGAGAATCTGACTTCTTCGAGAATGGCTGGCATGAGAAACAATACTTCTCTCTCTCAAGCTTAGCAAATTAAAGAAAAAGCAAGGAAAGTGCCCAGTAGTGTACTTGGGAGGGAAAGAACTGTGTATGCCCATGATTATTTACAGCCAAGTGGAGAGTGACTAGATCCTAAATACATGTTTCCGTCCCTCCCACCCTGTGTTGGTCTGTTTGCTTAATAATGTAATTAGTGCTCAGAGGGAGAATATTGACGATGCTGCCTGCAGCCATTGCTTTTCCGTGCGCCTCTAACCCGGTCCTGTTGCCCACCTGGCTCCTGCATTGCCTAGTCTGGTGGCTTCGGCCGTGCACCTACACACCCTCACTCCTGCCCACACACCCCTCCGAGCCCCCTCTGCTAATATAAGCCCAACTCCACAGTCCCACCCCCCTGAGCCCCTGCACACACTTAGTCCTGTGCTTGCCAGGCTCACATCTCACACGTTCAGATGGCATGTCCTTAGATGAAGGCAGCAATGAAAGACCACCTCTGATTTCTCTCTGACCTTTTAGTAAGGAAAGGTCGGAAGAACTGCTTGCTGTGCATTTCCCTAGCAATGTCCCTTATCTGGTATTAATCTGTCAGTGAGTAGGGCCCCGACTCCCTAAGACATCTTCCAGGTTCGGTCTTGCCGGAGGCTGAAAATGGAGCCAACATTACTGCCGAGTGCCTGGAAGGAGAACTCGGGGCTAGTTCCTCAGCAGTGCAGTGTCCTCTGCTTACATCTGCAAAATGAACAAAGCAATTCTGACTTCACCAAGCTATTTGAGAGAAAGAGCCATGTCTTTATTCCAACACTGTCGTCTCCCAGTAGAGGTGCCCAGTGGTCTGGCTCAGAGTGGACCTCCATGGAATTGTTCCTATCCCGGGTATCACGGCCCCTCGATGGTTCTGGGGGATCCAAGAACAGATTTTCTCAGGTGTTTACCGGACAACCTGCAGAATCCCCCCAGCCCTTCCTCAGTAGAAGCCCAGAGGGGTGATTATGGTTTAAAAAGCGAAGTCGTAAATTGGGCTTTCTCTACTCACTTGCTTTGTAGCTGAGGGAATCCACAGAGGGCAATTTAAAAGAAAAAGAAACAGGCTGAGAAAAAAAATTGCAATGCTTTAGCCTTAGTGTCAGAGTGATGGAAAATAATTTTCACATTTGATTAATTATTAAGAAATCTGTTTAATAAAATATAGAGAGAGCATTTTGTCTCTCCACAATCATTAGTATGACCCTGGACCCCTATTTTGGAGGTGAACAAAAAGCTATTGAGGTATAACAATAAATTTTGTCCCCAAGGGTTTTTGCAGAAGTGGCCACAGGGCCGTCCTGACAGATTTAAGGCAGAAATCCCACAGCTGACACTGAAATGTGTCAAATCCAGTGGCTTCAGTTGGCAGGTCGCACTCGCCAGCCTCACCCAGACATGTGAATAAAGCAGAATTATTGACCTAGAAAGAAACCGGGCATTGGTAGGGCTTTTTTCTTCTTGTTTTATTTTTTTGGAAAATTATCTCCCTAAAACATAGGTTCAAGTGTTTAGTATTCTTGGTAGCTTACTTTTTTCAAGTGCAAAAAGTCATCAAGGAATCCTATTCTTCTTTGAATGAGTTATTGTCAAAAAACACAATTTCTCTGTCCATGACTTTGTTTTATTAGACTTTAAATAGGAATATCAGAACGTCTAAAGAAATATCCTATTAGAATTAGACTTCTTTTTCCCCCAGAAAAAAAAAAATTATCTTTAAGATTAGTATGTAGAGGGTTTTATCCAACTTCGTGCATTTAAAATAATTAGTTATATGAATGTACATACTCATTTTTAAAATGCTTGGAGAGAGATTTCCAAGTTTCAATTTCTGATGCACTTTGATTTGCTAGTTATTTTCAAATATTGATTATGCTCCACAGACGTGGATTCAGGGAGCAATCACCATCAGACATCAGGCATGGAGATGTTCGGGCTGAGTTTACTCCATGTTCCCTCCGTGCCCCCAACCTACTGGTGGTACATTTGTGAAGTTCACATCTTTCCCATTCAGGTGGATGTTCCTCTGGTGAAGGCACTAGTGAAAGACCACCTCTAATTTCTTCCTGACTCTTCAGTGAGAAAGGACAAGCCCTTGCCTGGCGGCGGGGGGGTGGGGGCTGGCAGTGGGACATTCTCAGGCTGCGCCTGATGGGCCATCGTGGAGGGACCTGGGCCTACACCTTCACAGCCTACACCTGTATCTCTAAACCTTCCACCACTGCCCAACTATTTTGAAGATAAATTCATCAGACCTTCCGGAAGGAATTCCTGAGCTAGTCATCTGCAAATATTTTCACTCTCTTAGCAAAGGCCACTCCCGTGAATGGAAAGCTTAGTGTGAAAAACACGTTGCAGGGATGGGGTAAGGTGGGGTGGGGGAAACAATTTGGTCTTTCAATTACTAACCTCCTGCCCCTTCACCTCAGACATTGGTGGGGAGCACGTGTGATATCAGGAGGTTAAGTGGCCCCAGTGCTGTTCCTATGGCCATGTAGTGATCTCCTGGGACCAAGAAGAGCACAAGTATCATTCTCCCCTCTCTGGGCCGGTAGAAGGCAGAAGATTTACAAGCTCCAGAGGTAAACAGGGAGAAAATATTAAAATCTTTATCATCTTTATTATTTATCCAATGCTTCTTCTCGATTTGTATTTGCTTTATAATGCACTCAATATATTGTACAGGACAGTAAATACATATACACATACAGTAATATATATAGTTAGTGTCCTATGCACATATTAGTAAAACATTATAAGTAGTCATACATGTGTATAATATACAGTCAGCAATGCGTGATCCAATTTACAGATAAACATATGCACTGGAATCAACTCAGTCAAAAGTGCCTGGAGACCACAGTGTGGCTCCCAGCATGCACTGCTCTTCGCTGCCACAACAGTGAGCCTAAGGTGGTATTCCGAGCACCAGGTTCTCTCCTCTGTGACTGTGGTTTGAGATGAGTAGGCAGGGAGGCCTCTGGAGGCACCGGGAAGTTATTTCTACTTCCCAGACAAAAATCAGACCTCTCCTGGCCTCTCCCACTCCTCCACCCTTTTTTCCTCAGGGCAGTTTAGAGAATATTCAATGTTCAGCCACCTCAAGGAGGAAGCGCAGGGAAGAGGGTGATTCCGTCCTGAGCAGGTTCACCATCCTGAGCAGGTTCGCTGTGCGGGGTGCGGGGACGGATTATAGCCCACTTTGGAGAAGTTGGGAGGCAGGATGTGGGAGCGGTGCAGCCTCTCTGCTGGAGGAAGGCGTCGGGGGGCTGGGCGGTGGACAGGCAGAGGGTGGGATGGCATCTGGATCCATCTCATTAGGAGTGAGGAATGACTCCTGATTCACAAAAGGTCATTGCCTACTGAGGTAGATAAATTACCTATAAGCCTTCAGCAGAGTTGGAGGACCTATTTGGAAAGGAAGTTTTCATTAAATCAAAGATTTTATGGCTTCTATTTTGTTGCATAGGAAAAGGGAAATAATTACTAATTGACGAAATAAGTGCAGGGAATAAAAAAGTGTAATGTTATTCTAATAGGCCTTGTCTTGGTCTTTAACTTTTCACTTGCAAGCAGCATTATTTTTTAACTCAGATGTATAAAAATCATCCACACTGAGAAAGTGGAACGAATTGCAGTTAAACAATTGAGGGGAGCACTAACCAATAATAGGATAGGCTTTAAAATGCCATAAATATTGTTCCTTTTTATTGTGTTTGATTTTTGATGATTCCCATAACCCATTGCTTAAGATTAAATAGACATGTTCTTAGGTATTACTCAAATACATTTTAGTGCTAAACTATATAAAGCAGAATATATATATTTGCCCCCAAATTGCCTGTTAGATGAGTTTCTCAGATGGGCCCCTATTTTTCTACTGACATTTCCATCTTGGGAAACCTCCCAGATTATAATAGTAACACTGAAATTAAAATTTCTCCAAGGGTGAATTTAACCTAACCTATAGGGGTATCAATGCAGCTTATACATTAGGCCGATTTTCATGGAATAACAAATATTGGAGTCTTTCTGTCAGCGAAATGTTTACCCCTCACATTTACATGACCACGGGGATTTCTTTTTCATAGGATCCCTGCCTTTTTACCCCTAATTAAATCGGTTTTGGAGAGGATTTGTGCTCCTGTGAGATTCACAGGCTATCAGAAGTAAATGATAAACAAAGAAATATGGAAAATAGCTAAGTGGGGAAAGAAAACGGTAGATTCACACTGATTGCACCTTTTTTTTTTTTTTTTTTTAAGCTCTCTTCCCCGGATAGAAGGCCTCCTATGCTTGGTCTTCAGCTGATCATTTTTTGAACCTGCGCTTTCTCCTTGTTCCCTTGCAGCAGCTGGGTGTGCGGGGTGGGCCCTGCGTTCATCCGCATCCCCGCACTGAGGGAGCCGCAGCTCTGAGCAACGGGATGGTGGGCGCGGGTAGGAAAGTCCTCTGCAGGGACGGTATGGGATGAGAAGGGGACCGAAAAGTCACTAATAAGGTAAAGTGCCCAGCATGGTGCCTGGAGCTCGTCAGCCACCAAATTATTCACATTATATAAAAAGATCCAAGTAGGGGGTATTCTCCATTATAGACAGGGAGAGAAGCAGAGTTATCTAAGTGCATAAGAAAAATGCAAACGTTCTCCTGACAAGTACATGATGGGCTGTGTGTGGCCCTGCTCCCCTTTATGGACTTTTCCAAGAGCCCCAACCCCCAGTTTCCCCAAGTTCTCGATCTAATATAATTTTAGTAGTATCAAATAATGACATTCTTAACCATTTCTCAAGGGCAACCACTCTACTCACTAATAGATCTCACTGTCAGGGAATTTTTATGGATAACTATTTAGGAACTTTTTTTTTTCCTCTAAATTTCTTCCCACTGGAACACTGTGAGTCTTGAAAATGAACAAACGGTGAAACACCCTTGTTCGCTTGTGACCCTCAAGATGGCAGACGGTTACTGGTGACATTAGTGGTAGGCATGACTTGCTTCACCATCCAAGTGGCATCCATCAAGCTGCCCTACTGCCCAGGCCTCAGTTTCTTCAGGGAGAAGTTGTAAAGAATTAAGGTGAAGAGACTATCTATCCCCTTAGTATCCCTCTTCCTCTGGCTGGACTCAGCATCACTCAGCACAACACTGCATTCCACTGCGGGAGCATCACCCAGCCTCTGGACCTCAGGTATCCCAGGCAGAGAAATGCCCTTGGTAAGTTCTTCCTCCTTCCATCATAGTTAAACCCTGTACCATACTTGAGATTTCTCCAGTCACTTACATAAATAACCCATTTCTTTTTCACCTTGTCTTCAAGGGTTTGTGCCTGCCCTCCGTGACTTCCACCACACAAGAAAGGGAGCCCCAGGGGACTCTGACCAAATTTACTAAGGTAGAGTGGAGTTTCCCGAACCACTGAAGAAGTAAGAATCCTAAAAGGCCTTTTATGGGAATTGAATGACTCTTGAGAAATCTCCTCGCTTAGCTGTTTTGCCCCAGGAAATTAACATTGCATTGTCCTACCCACCCTCTCCTACCCTGTTTTGGAAAGGTAGTAGATAGTTCATTTTCAAAGTAACGGACATCCTGTTTGTATTTACTTTCTATGCCACAAACAGTGCATTTGGTATTGAGTTGAATAGGGCTCCAGAGAAAATACAGTTAATGAATAGTCACAAGGCTGCTAATCTGATCAATGCTGGGTGATAGGACATTTAATCTGATTGTGACCACAACTGCACAGAGCCAGTGGCGGCAAAGAGGACCACATTGGCTGGCAGGAGCATCTGTAGATTATTAATTACTTGAGGGGTGGGGGCTCTGATGAAAATAGATGCGGGGAAGAGAAAAGGCGTCTAGCAGGAGGAAAGGAGCAGGCAGGAGGAAGCTAACTTAGGGAGGTTATCCCACAGAAAGTGTGGCACGTTTTATGCCAGTAACCCTGGATATAGCCCCATATTCAAGATGAAAATGAAAACCAGAAACAATCTTCATAAACCCCACATCTCATTCAGGTAGGCTTGCGGACCACAGCAAAGGAAACCATCCATGGTGGCCGAGAGTCACACCATTACTTGAAGAAGACCAGGGCTGTGGCAGTGGGGGGAGGGCTCCTCCCTTTCAGCAGCACCGCTCTGGCTGAGGGGTTGGTCCACCCTGTTGGCCATGTCCATAGTGATGATCAATACACATCTCTGCCTGAAAACACAGAGACTCCTCTGCTTGCCGGGGATGAAAACATCTAATGTCCAATGTCTACCCCTGCTCAGGCCAGCCTTGCAATGCCTCAGGGCCGGTGGCAGAGGCAGAAGGCCAAGGGACCTTCCTCAGCATCCTCTGCCATGCCCCCAGAGGCCGTCCATAGGACTAGGAACAAACTGGAAGCAAGCTAGCCAGGCTGGGGCTAACTCTCACACTCCTGACCTGCCCTTTGCCCTCTCAGATCTGGAGGATGCCCTCCTGTCCTTTGCAGGGGTCAGTGGGCACAGACCTTTCTGTAGACCCCAGCAGATGGCTCAGTGTCCTCTCAAAACCATGTTTCCACTCACAGCTGCATCCTGAGCAGAGCAGAGATTCCTGGTGTCACCTCCTCCTGTCCCACCACGACTTCCCTCGTCCTAGCAACATGCACCAAACACCTTGAGACAGATGTACGGCAACGAGGACCGCAAGTTCCCTGACTTCGGGGGCTCATTATCTCTTTGAGAGAATAAGACACAAAAACAGGTACTTATCCGGGAACAGCCCAGAAGGTAATTGGCTCTCCATGATGACTTTTTTGCAGTCCTCAGCACCGAGGCCCTCCGTTGGCCTTTTCCAAATGTATTAAGGACCTCCATTATGCCCACCCGGCATGGGTAGCCCTCCACCCTTGTACCTTAGCGCACCTGATACGTGAACCCTTCAGAGCGCCTCAGCCACATTTTGATCAATGGTGCTGCTAAGTGTGCAAACCATCACGCCAATATCTGAGAGCTCGATGGAAGCCCCGGAATGCCAGGCTGACGATGAGGTCGGTGGGAAGCCCCAGAAGGTGTTTGCTCAGTGCCGGCTTGGGGCTCCGGCCCTCTCCATTCTCTGCCCCCAGACATTCCCACGGGGGCTGCTGTCGCTGGCTGCTGGGGCCTCACCCTCCCCTGAAACTGGGGCCGGGAAGACGGGAGCTGGGGAGGGCTCCCAGGAAGGCCCAAGACAACCAGTACGTGGGCGAAAGAGCCCCGCGGCTGCTGTGTTGGTCCCTCGCGCTGCCAGGAGGCCCCATTCTGAGCTAATGAACAGCTTAAGTGTGCAGATGAGGGGAGAAGCAGGGAGTATAAGCCCTGACCGTTAAACACTGTCAGCAACACAGGAGGCTGCCTGGGCGGAACAACAGCTCAACCCAAAGAGTCCTTTCAGATGCCCAGTTTTGTTCTGAAGTTGCCTGTCCGCTTGTCTCCTCTTGTTTTTCTTTTTGCTTTTAAAACCCTTACAATCAAGCATTTATGAAATACTGGGGCCAGGGGAAGTACTTCTATGAGCTATTCAAGCCCAAAAGCCTCAAAGAAGGAGGGTGGGATGCTGACGGTCTAATTGATTTTCTTCTGGAATAAAATTAAAAGCAAGGCAGAGAGTAGCAAATAGCACTCACCTTTATTGGGCGCCTTGGAGCTTGGTAAATAGAGGGCAATGTTTCAGCGTTTGGTTTAGGGTGAAGGAGGGGGCTTATTATGAGAAAATGAAAAACAATTAGGCTGCCGGCAGAGCGGAGGTGGGGGTGGGGTGAGAGGCGGCGGGGGGCGGGGGGTCGGGGGATGGGGTGGTGGAAGCTGGAGGGGGGACTCCATGGCGAGGCTGCTCCACGGAGGCCCGGCCTCCCCCGTCTGGCGCCGCCGCCGGGGGTCAGCCGGCCAGCCTGTTTTCTCTCGGAAAAGTGTGTTCCCCCTTTGCCTCCTGGCCTCTGCCTCCAGGCCGCCGGAGCCTGGCGCTTCCCCTGGTAGAATGTAAACGAACCAGAGCCCTCTCCCTGCGATCGCTGTAAAACGAGAAGCCATTTCTTCCTGTTAAGTAGAAAAAGCCCACCCCTGTGAAACCTCGTTCCCAATGCCCGTGCACTGCTAATGGAATTTTTAACTCGACCTAACCGCACCTGAAGGTAATCAGCTCTGGGCCAGTTGTGCATTCCAAGTCCCTGTCAAGCTGACAGGAGGGCAGAATTAGATGGTTTGATAACATTTCTCTCCAGGGCCCCATTTCAGCAGTGGTGGGGCAGGTGTCCCCGCTCCCCCCTTCCCCCCCCCCGCCCCCCGCAGGCTTTGTCCTGTTCTCCCTGCTCTCCCTACCAAGATGGGGTGATGCGCCGCCCCCCCAACTCCCGTTCTGATCTGGGTGCCCTGACCTCAGGGAACTGGGTTCTGGTTTTCAGAACTACTTAGGCATTTCTACCCCCCGGGGAGACAGACAGTGTTGAGGTTCAGGGTGTTAAGATATGGCTCTGCCCTGTGAAACCTTCTTCAAACAAGGGTGTATTTCTAGCAGGAAGCAATTTGTACATTCCAATTTTCCCAACTCTCACCCCAACTCTCAAGTCATAGAATGTTTTTAAAACAGTGCCCAGTCATTGAAAATGCCAGCCAGGTATTTTGAAGTTGCTTTGTACTCTTAGCATGTGACAGAATCTTCACCCAGGGAACTTTCAAGAAGCAAGAATTTCAAGTAGAAGGCTGAGGCAATTTTAAGAGGGGCACTCTCTAGTCTTTTGTGTAACTTTCCTCCCTCTCTCTCTCTTCTGTTTCTAATTCCATCTTAGAAGCTTGAAAATACAATTTTTTCCCTTTACCAATTTTGTGTTTTTCTATTTGGCAAACATTGATTCTTTTCTGTGTCCCAAATGGAGGTGAAATTAACTTGTCTGTCTGTTTCTTAAACAAAAATAAATAAACAACTTCAATATGTATAGTCCCAGATCCTGCCAAACACCTTTTGCGGTATGCCAATGTCACCGAGGAATGTCAGCTCAGCACTGTGATTAGCATTTTACAATTGCTACGGAGCCAAATGTTGAGAGAATAACAAATGCTATTTTGTGCCCCATGAAAATTACAGTTGAATAAAGGGAATTTTCCACTCATATAGCAGGAAATTTAAAACAGGAGTCCAGGAGACTGGAATCCAGGTGACTTTCTCAGGTAAATAATTTTAAGATCAAAATTGAGGTCTCAAAAATGTATATAAGTTAATTTAGTTTCACTTTTTAAAAGCTTTCCTATCTAAAGTTTTGTATTATGAGTTCACTTTAAGTGGATTTTTTTAACCCCAATTCCCAACTTAAAAATATAATTGATGTTAATAAGTGAAAAGATAAGCCACAGGTGAAGGGAAATGTTTGCCTAACACATCTGAAAAAGGACTTGTGTGTAGAATGAGTAAAGAACTCTGACAATTCAATAATAAGACCAACAAACCAATTAAAAAGGGGCCAAAAAAAAGAAAAAAAATGGAAAGACACTTGACCAAAGAAGATAAACAAATAGTCAACTGGTACATGAAAATGTGTTCAACACCATTGAGTATCAGGGAAATGCAAATTAAAATTGAAATGAGATCTCACTACTGGAATTGCTAAAATTAAAAAGAAAGACCACATCACGTGTTGGTGAGGATATAGAGGAACTGGAATTTTCTCATACCCTGCTAATAAGAATGCAAAATCATCCACCTACTTTGGAAAACTGCTCAACTGTTTCTTCAAATGCTAAACACATACTTATCACACAATCCATCAACTCTTTCTTAGGTATTTGCTCAAGAGAAATAAAAACAGGTCCATGCAAAGATCTACAAGCAAATGTTTATAGCACCTTTATTCATAAGGGACCCAAAGAGAAAACAACCCAAACATCGTTAACTGCTGAATGAATTCGGAAATTGTGGTATATCCATTCAATGGAATTCCATGTAGCAATAAACAGGCATGAATTAACAACACACAGCAATATGGATGTATCTCAGAAAAATCATTCTAAATGAAAGAAGCCAGAATACACAAAAGACTATATATACTGAATGATTCCACTTATATGATATTCTAGAAAAGGCAAGCTTATAGGGACAGAAAACTGATTCCTATAATGAGGCACAAGGGAAGTTTTCGGGCTAATGGACATGTTCTATATCTTGATTGTGGTAGTAGCTATACAACTGTGTACTCTTGTCAAAACTCATCAAACTGTATACTTTAAATGGGTAAACTTATTATGTGTAAGTTATACCTTGGTAATTCTGACTTTAAAAAAATATTGTCAGGATGCCTGGGTGGCTCAGTCTGTTGAGTGGCCGGCTCTTAATTTCAGTTCAGGTCATGATCTTGGGGTCCTGGGATCAAACCCCACATCGGGCTCCATGCTCAGAGGGGACACTGCATGAGGATTCTTTCTCTCCCTCTCCCTCTGCCCCTCTCCTCACTCGCATGCACATGTGCGCACACTCTCTAAAATAAATAAATAAATCTTTAAAAATCTTTAAAAAGAAAAAAAAGAAATTGTCAAGACTAGGCATGGTAGGCTGAGTAATGGCTCCCAAAGATACCCATGTCCTAATCCTTGGAACCCGTAAAAGTTGCTTCATATGGTAAAAAAGCATTTGCAGATGCAATTCAGTTGAGGATCTTGAGATGGGGTTATTGTCCTGGATTATCCTGGTGGGCCAATCGTAAACGTCCTTATAAGAGGGAAACAAAAGGAGATTTGACACAGAAGAGAAGATGCCCATGTGACAAACAGAGTGCAGCAAAGTCAAAGAAGACCTGGGAGATGGAAGAAGAGGCCACGAGCCAAGGAGTAAGAAGAATATAGCTCTAACAGCCAGAAGAGGCAAGGAACAGATTCTCCCTTAGATTATGACCCTGCCAACACCTCCATTTGAACCCGGTGAAACTGATTTGGACTTCTGACCTCCACAACTATAAGAGAATAAATTTGTTTTGGTCTAAGACACTAAATCTGTGGTAAACTGCTACAGCACCTATAAGCAACTAATACACTAGCGAACAAGTGACGGCTAGAACACAGATTGCAAGAGTCTTGCTCTCATTTAAGGGGAGACCTGATGGCTTAAATCAGCATCTTTAGATTTCAGTATGGGTAAGAATCATCTGAAATGCTTTTAAAAATGTAGTGATTCTCAGCCCCCCATTCCTCCTCACTCTTATCTCCCCACCTGTGCCAACCTGATTTAGTCAAGAGGGCAGAGCCTGGGCAGCTGCATCTGGGTCTACTGCTGATGCCCCAAACTTGACTTTCAGACTGATATAAGGAGTGTGTTAATGATGTGAAATCAACAGAGCTATTTTGCTTCCACTGGATGATAGCTAAGAGAAGCCTGCAAATATCTAGGCACTAGTGTGAGATTCATTTAACTTGATTAGTGAAGCTGACAGTTTGCCTAGTTTGAAACACATCCAGTGAAAACCCAAGCCCTATCAGATAACAGTTGAAAAGAAACAAAAGTGAGAGAGAGGAGAGAAAGAGGTAATTTTAAGGCCAGAATTACCACTCAGTTCCATCTATATACAAGCTAATTTATGTTTCCATGAGAATCTGCCAGGCTACTCCAGCAGTTTTAGCAATGTGTTTCTCTACCCATGTTTATCAAATATTTAAACATCCCATTTTTATTGAGCCATAATATCCATTGAATATGTAAGCAAAAGAAGGAGGATGAATTTTCTTTTTCACAGCAAGAATACAATGGCAATTCTTTGCTCATGATCTGTTTCCATCTGTACAATAAAGTCACATTTGAATTCTCATATTTGCTGGAAAAAAAAGTAAATCATTCTCTATCTTCCATAAATACGTATTTCGTAAGTCCAGATCAACTGATTGATCTATCACAACATTAATTGATCAGCATAGCATCTGTCTGTCCATTTATTCATCTGAGAGAGAAGCAGATGACATACAATTAGTTTCATAATGGAATAACACTTTCCCTCCAATTAGCATAGCTGTGCATGTGATAGGAAGGTTCTAGTCTCGAAGGCAAGTGAATATTTATTATTTCCTTGTACCAGGGCGAACAAATCAGTTTAGGGACTGAACATCTCTTGTTTAAAATGAGTATCACTGGTCAGAAATATCCACTTTGAGTGTGGTACCTACGATACAGTCTGTAAACCACCATTGCAAAAGACTGCATCTCCAGTAAACTAAACCAGTGCCCAAACCACCTTGCTCATTATGATGGACAGTAATCAGTGAACTAATAAAACGATTGGAGCTGAAATCATATTTTGCATTCACAGCAGCAATGGAATAACGAATAAGCCATAGAGATGAATATACATATTCATTTTCCCTCTTTACGACACACACAAACCTTGCTCTCTCGCCTTATAGTTGTATGAGAGTCAACACAGTGTTTGACGCACTGAAATACAGTGGCAAATCATGTTTGACGAAGGAGGTGGCTCCTGCTTTAGTGCGTTCCATTCACTGGGGAGAAGCAGATAGTTTGTGGGGGTCTCTCTCTAAGAAGGCAGAACCATAATTCCAAGTCCAGAGGTCAGGAATTTATTTTCATGGTGTCAAAAGCATGTTTTAACGATGTAATGTGTATTCTAGTATCCCCTGGCTGATGGGGTAGATGTGCTCCTTGTTAACAGAGAAAACTGAGGTTTTATGACACGGAGTTTGGGTCAAGAATGAAAAGTTTTGAAGATTTACATTTTTCTTCAGCATTGACCTTTTGGCTTTATTCCTTAATTAAGCAAAGACATGGCAGCAAAAGGGGGTATTATGGGCCTGCTGTATCCCCAGGGTGTTATGAGATACCAGACACAGTTAAGCTATCTCAAGACAACCATGTTCTCTGGAGTTACTTTATTGCTATTATAAAAAATCTTTATTATGGGAAAAAATATGTATTTTTATGCCAGAAGAAGATGAAGATGACAGTTAGGCTGTTGAATGGTAGTTTCAGTTGAGCTTCGTGCCCACAGAGATTGTAAAACACCCAAGACTAAGGGAGGGCTCCTGATAGAATCTTAAGAAACCTAAAGGGGTATATTAATCTTTGTGAAATTCATAGTTGGAACAGGCTACCATTAACTGGCACTTTCCAGTTATCAAGATATTTTATGAAACTGAAAAAAGTCCTATTACACTTGCTAACAGGGCCAACTTTGAGGGTGTGGCTAATGAAATAGTCTCTTTCCAGATTGTCTCAACTGTAAGAACCTTGAGATCCTGAATCCCCAAGGATGCCTGCTGCTTTTCTTACGTGCTGCCTAGCATGGCCTTTGTACAGAAGATTCTGTGTGAGTTTGCTTTTCTTTACTAAGGAAAAGAAAGCCTTTAATTGAGTGGCTGCTCTTTTCAATTCGATTTTTATTGCTTTTAAAGCAAATATGCTGCCCTTTCCCCTCTGAAAAAAATCACCTTTGCTTAAACTACTGACACCTCTTTCCGTCAATATTGATCAAAATAAGACACCTTATTTAAAAAGTGTTATTCCTTAGACCTTTCATCATGAGCTTCCTTTGCTACCAGGAACAGCTTAGGTACTTGCTTATGTACTAGTCTTTGGGTTTATAATTTATGTTTCATTCTCTCTGAATTCCAGAAGGAGTTTGATGTGGTTCTTGCATTTGTGTTCTCTTGGCTCTCACCGATGGGGCTTCTGGGAGCTGACCACCCCCCGCCCCCGGAATTGACCTGTCTCCTATGTATCTGTAGCAAAGGAACAGATGGAATTCTTTCCGTTCTACCCATGGGAGGAAGAGGTAGGTTGGGATCCCTCACCCACACTTTCCGCTCCTGAACGAGGGAAGTGGGTCACCGCTATCGAAGCAGTGAACAGAGGCAGGGAACCTTTTGGATCTTTTGGTTGGCATAAAGAAAGCCTGGTTTCGGGGGCGCCTGGGTGGCTCAGTTGGTTGGGCGACTGCCTTCGGCTCAGGTCATGGTCCCGGAGTCCCGGGATCGAGTCCCGCATCGGGCTCCCTGCTCGGCAGGGAGTCTGCTTCTCCCTCTGACCCTCCTCCCTCTCATGCTCTCTGTCTCTCATTCTCTCTCTCTCAAATAAATAAATAAATAAATAAAATCTTAAAAAAAAAAAAGAAAGCCTGGTTTCTACATAAAGTTTCTACATAAAGAAAGACTGATGCTAGTTTCTTCCTCCTCCGCTCCTCCCCCTCCTCCCCCCTCCTCTCCTTCTTCTCCTCCTTCTTCTTCTTTTTCTTCTTCTAATAGTTACTTTATCCCCACATTGCTCAACAGATTTCTCATGAGGAAGTCTGCCGCTCCAGTTTGCCCAAAGTTGGCCATCTAGGAATGGGCTGCTTCGAGGGGCCCTCCGTGCATCCTCTCTGGGCTGGCCCGCAGGAATCCACAGGTTAGTCTCACTACACCCATCAGTGTGCACCTACAGTCTCTCAGCCCTAGGCGATGGCTCACTTTTTAGCAATTTTTTCAGTACAACAGAACTGCATTGCAGGGGTTTGGAATGGTCCTTTGCATTATAAAGAGATTTCACTAGTTGACCCAGCAAGTTATTTGTGCAGAGCCCACTTTGGGTACTCCTCGGTGCGGAGGCAGTAGGGAGGCTCCAGGATGACACACGGTCCTTGCTTCTGTCAGGGATATCATGGTGTTGGGGGAAGAGGAGTCTGTGCCCCTCTGACCCCACAAAAGAGAAAGCTGAGGGTGTCATTTAGTGCTTCGTTTGGGAACTAGAAAGGGAACTTCCAGCTGGACCTAGGAAGAGATGGAGCCAGAGGGGATTTGGGTGGGGAGGCAAGGAATAGACTCATGAATTAGAGAAATTCTTGTGGCTAATCTATGCTCTGCAGCCTGAGATATTCACATTCCTTATTGAGGAAAACTTTTGCTGGGTATCCGTTTCCTAGTGAGAATGTCACTTTCACTTTCAGTTTCATTATATTTTGGACAGAATCTGTTTCCTGGTGTAAGTTTGCTGGCTCCATCCTTAAGAAAGATGCTCAAATTACGTACACCATCATCAAACCTTCAGTACCTAGCTCCATGTTTCTTCCCAGAAACCAAGTGGCATCCAGGTGGGCTTGTGAGCCACTCCAAACATGTAGATCTCTCCTTCTGTTGTGAGAGCAGAGTAATCTCAGGAGATTGGTGTCACTGAATATCCTCCCAAGCATAGCTGTCAAGTATATAGATTCAAAAATTCACCATTTCATTTGATCCATTTTCAGAGCTTATTGAGTTACTTGTGTTTCTCCTCTTCCAAAATGCTGTGTGCTCTTCCCGCGGTGCTCTTTTATTTGGAAGACCCCAAAGCAGGCCACCCAGGAGTCAGGGGAAAAAGCCTTCCTATATGAACCAGTGTGAGCAATGTCGGAAAAATGTGGTACAAAGCTGACAGAAACGCCAAGTTCTAGTTTTCCTATTTCTGGAGGATTATATCAAACAGGTTTAAAATAATGGAAAATATCTGGTCTCTCCGCATGGGGTAGCAGAAAGGTGACTGCCACCAATGAGACAATGTTATATGGACTTGATGTATTATATAAAACACTTGAAATGTTATGTACATAACAATGTTAGAGTACTTGGTCCTTTGGAACAAAATAGACCAAAGCAACTTACAAATTTGGCATCGTGACTCAAGGTTTGAATGGAAATAGCCAAGAAACCATAAGGCAAACACAGAGCCCAACTATTATTTCTCCTTAGTATCACCACTTCTTTCTGATTTTTTTTTTTTAAATGCTGCTGAGAAGATGTAAAAAGTAGATTTTGAGCAAGGCAGGCAATGATTAGCATCTGCAAAGGAGACCTCTGGATACTCAGTCATTCAGTAAGAAGTACCCAAAGACAGAATTTGGATCATTATTAGAAATAATATATTGATGTCACACACACACACACACACACACACACCATCAAATCTATTTCCCAATCTTCAGCCTGATTAATGGAAATTCCAAAGAACTTCATTCAGATTGGATTGTTGATGTGGGCATCCCAACTCAAATCCACTGTAGGTGATTTTATTTCCCTGTGATTAAGGCCCATGGTTCGATAGCATTAGAAATGCTGTAGAGAAGCATTTCTCTACAGTAGAGACGAAATTACAATTCCTTGCACTTGGCAAAATGTTTGCTATTGAGGATTCCAAATTCTCCTGGTCATGAGGAGCTCAAGAAAGGGAACGTTTTATTCTTCTTTCCACCAGCAATTTGTTTATCTATAGTTAGCAAATGCCAAAGGTGGTTATTTGTTTTCTTTTTTGTTGTTGTTCTTGTTTTCTTTTGTTTTTCATAGGTCTGTGAGTCCAGAACTTAAAGATGTCTCCATTTTGCATGAAAACGGTGTCAACATCTGACATTATAGCATGATTAGATGACATGAGTCTTAACTGGTTTCTGGTCCAGAACATTGGTTTGTCAACCACTATTTTTTGTTGTTCTACAGTTCATTACACACACACACACACACACACAAATGCGGGCAGGCAGTAAAATTATGCTAGAATTGCTGAAGAATTATAAGTAGGGAAAGTGTGTTTAGCTCTTGAATCCAGTACTTGAAATCATAAGGATAAATAATCACCACCAGCAATCTTGTCCCTGATTTTGTTTCAGTCATTAGAATTCTGTTGCGATGTTTACCGCTCGGGCTTCCTTAAGAAACTGGGTTACTTCCTCTGTCAGAGCCCCGCAGGGAAGTCAGAAAGCCAATGTTTGAGGTAACGTGGCAATGCATTTTAAGAAGAATCAGCTCCTAAGAAGTGGGGAGAAAATATATTATTGGACTTTGCAGGGCAAACATGCCCCAGCAGGTTGGAGACTACGAGGAGTGGGGTCCCGCTGGCCGCGGTGGCCCCCTCCTGCCCGCACCTCGCGCTGGGCGGCCCTTGCACGAGGCCGGCCCGGGTCGCCTCCGCTCCCGGGGGAGCCGGGCCCTCGCGCTCCCTCCAGGATGGGACAGGATATGACAGCCCGGTTTGTGCACCAGCATCCTTAATATTTCCTTCCTTTCAGAAGCAAATAGAGCGTTCCCTTATCTGAATGCTAATTTCCTAGTTAAAAACCCTCCCTTGCTGACAAGGGACTGAAAGAGTTTTAAATCACAGATGTAGAGTATCAAATGCAATAATGCTCTTGCAATAGTGCATTGAAGCCTCAATTAATTAACCCTTGGGCTAAGTAGGCAGGTACATGGCGGTGGCCGCAGGCGGTGGATGGATGAGATTTAAATGTGCATCTCATTTCCCCAGCACGGAGCATGCCGTTTGGTTCAGAAAAGAGTCATTTTGCACACTCGCCTCATTTACTCGCCGCTTTAATCCTCCTAATTCCACCTGAGATCGGGGGAGAATTGAAAAGGAAGGCGAGGAGCAGGGGCTGCCGGCCGGGCTTTTGTTGCGCGTGGTCCCCCGGGGCCCCGGGGCCTCCAGCGGGTCTCGCCTCGGAGCAGGCGTCGACGGGAAACGTGCACAGCGAGATCAAGGCGGATGGGGCTGCTTTTACATTTTTAGGGGGTGCGGGCAGTTCTGGGAGGAGGACGCCGGACCAAGCCCACCCCGTCCGGGTGCGGAGTCCCCAAGCCAGGCCGCAGCCTCGGCTGGGCGCCCCAGGGCGCGGGGACGGGCGCGGGGGGTGGGGGGCGCGTCTGCGGGCCGAGGCCGCGGGGCCAGAGGCGCGGTGCGCGCGCGGGCGGGGTGCGGGCTCCGGTCTGGCCGCGCTTCTGAGTCCCGCCGCCCGGGTTCAAGAACCACATCCCGCCCTCGGCCCGGCGCCGTGTCCCGCGCTGACTAGGTGTAACTCTCCAGCTCATTTCTCTCCACGCGATTTACCATCTGTGAACTCGTCTTTAACCTAATAAAAATCATCTAGCTTTTGACTAACAAGAAAAGGAAACAGTGCTCATTGTGGGGTTTGGGGAAAATGGCTTCACTAATGTGCAGGATGAGAACGGAGTGATTTATAGGCGGTTTTAACTGTAGGCTATGATTAGGGGGCTGGTAGTAAGTGCATTAGATGTCTAAGTGTGGCAATAGAGTAAATAGGCGTTTTATTTATCGCAGTGCCAGGGGCCTCTTAGCGGAAGAGCGCTTCTCCAAATTGAAATATAGCAGAGTTTACACTCCTGATTAGGGCTTCAAGCGCAGAGCCCAAGGCTATCAGCTAAGCAGAAACAACGCTCGCTGACACCTAATTGTCACTGGATTAATGTGCAAACAGGGACAGCGAACAGCAACAACAAATAACCTAGTGTCAGAGTCGTTGGTGGCAGTGTCCACTCACAGTGACTTGGGGCCAAATTGGAGTTTATATGTCAAAACGGGCTCGGATCAATGTGTCGGGCTCCTGCGAAGGGCTGGATGGAGTCGTGGCAGGTTGTTGATCTATGTGTGTGGGGGGGCATAGTATGTGCCTGGGAGTGGAGGGGAGCAGGCAGACGGAGGAGGTGCAATGCCTGTCCATTAATTTTTTTTTTTCTGCTTTATGCTCCCGAATTCACAGCTATTAAGACAAATTTATGTGAATCAGGTCTTTCTCTCCAGGATCTTGTGACTTTCGCCTGGGTCTCCATATAAAATTTAATAACCCTGTTTGTGAATCAAATCATTCCCACAACAACAGATTCAATCTGGGTTGCCACCTGTCTGGCTTTGGACAGGAGCAACCAAATTGGGCAGCTGGGTTCCAGCTTTTCATGGGGGCTGGTGGTTGGTTGGCTGCCGGTAGCTCAGTTGGCCCTGGAGTCTTCCAGAGCAAGAGCTAGATGTGGCTGAAGGGGAAAAGGAGGACAGCCTTCCATATTCCCTGGACCCTCCTTTCTCTTTAAATGACCAACCTGGTGGCAGCCCTATTTTAAAAACACAAGAACTCATAACAGCCCAAAGCAAATGGTGGAATAGGTTACCATCCAGGAAGTTCTTATGCTCACTCATTTTTCTTCTACAATTAGCCATTTAGGGAGGGAAAAAGTCACAAATACATGAATTATGTTCCTAAATGTATTTCTAAAGTTCTTAAGTTTTATTGAGCATGAAAGTTGGTCTTTCCCTGTGTTAAGGACTGAAGAAGCTATAGAACTAGCTAGTAGCTCAATGGTGCAAAGTCTTATGATTTAAACTTGACATTTGCAATTTTTTGCCATAAAATATTACTTTCTTTATTTCAAGACTTTAGTTGAAAACCTCGTAATTCCTTTTAAGCTCCATTTGATTGTCAATTGCACAACTCTCTCTAAAGCTTAGGGCTTATGATTTTCATACACACATGATTTATGCTTTTTGTGTCACAATATAATGTACTTTGGTACAGCTCCTACTTATTTCCCTTGCATCACGAAAGCCTTCCCTTTTAGAGGCTGGGATTTTTATAGGGAAGCTATGAAAGAGTTGTG